CTCCAGGGCCGCTGCGGCAGGGAGGTCAGCCTCTCAGGGGGGCTCCCGGGCCTCTGGAAGGAGGGGTTCCGTCCTGGGGCCGCTCCGGTCCGCTGGGGATAGGACTCCCACCCAGCCAGGGTGCTCCAGCGATGCCCAGTGGGGAAGCTGCCAGGCCTCTCTAGGGAGGAGCGCCTCCCCTCCATCCCTGCTTGAGGACTCTTGGAGAAGGAGCCCCGCACGTCTGGGGTGCTCCAGGGGCCCCACTGCCTCCTCCCCGCCGGGTTCTGCAGCCACAGCTTTGACCGCCCCAGCTCTGGCCCTCCCCTGGAGTGGCGGTGCCGGGCCAGCTCCAGCCCGGCCTGGATTTGCTGGCGGAGGTCTCTAAGGACGGCCATAGCATTTTGGATGGTCATGGGCTGATCGCAGGAAGCCAGGTTGGGTGCGTTGTCAGACAGCTGCAGGTCACCTCGGAAGGAGGCTGGACTGGGCATCCGGGGGCAGACGGAGGAGCTCTCGGCAGCTCCAACTCTCTTGCTATCTCCTGCAGAGACAGGTGGTCACAGGTGTCAGGAGCAGTGGGGGCCCAGGAGGAGCAGAGCCCGCTCTCTGCCCCAGGCACCCTCAGCCCTGCTCCCAGGGAGCTCGCCCCTTGGCCCTTACATGCATCATGGACTTGGACACTGCACCTCTGGGTGTGGGTGCCTCATATGGGTGACTCGACCTGGCACAGAGCCACCCACTCCAGACTTGGTGGAAACAGCACGACTGGGTGACGTGTGTCTCCTAGCGGAGCCCCTGCCACTCCCATCCTGCATTCCCTACCATGGGAAAGCCTAGGTGGCCGTGCCCTGCCTCCCAGGAGCCTAAAACATGTCTCTCAGGGGCAGAAAACCTTTCTTTGGCTTTTAAATATAATGCTTTCTCCAAGTCCCGTCTGATGGCAGATCTGGAGGGCGTTGGACAGGCCGCTGGGGAGAGGTTGCTCCTGCACCCGACGCCACCGCCTTCCCCTCCACGCCCACCCCCCTGATGCCCCAGCAGAGCAGGGAGGAGCACAGGCCGGGGTACCAGCTACCTAATTCCGCGGTAGGGGCCTGGTCTCTTGAGGGAGCCTTGCTCTGGAGCCTGGGAAGGGCGGGAGGGGGCCCAAGCAGGGCCCTCACCAGGGCTGGTCCTTTCCTCCAGGCGTAAACACCAACCAACTCAGAATCTTAAACAGAGAAAACGCACACACAGCGGAGCGGCCGGGGCCTTCCGAATGCGGGCCCAGACGAGGAGGTCTTTGGCCCCGGGGAGCCCCCGGAGACTGCGTCACACGCTCCCAGAGGAGCTGGGGCGAGCCTCAGCCAGTGGCCAGCAAGAGGCAGGGCCGAGTCCCAAGATGACCCTGGCCGGTGACCTGACTTCTCTGACCCTGGGTAAACGGGGTAATAAAACCCGCTCCCCATGGCTTTGCCTGTAAAACCAAGGCCACGGGCCCAGGTGCACTGCACATCCTAGGTCAACGCCAGCCCACACTAGCAAGGACCGTAGTCATGAGGAGCCGCGAGTGGGAGGCTAATGCTACGCTGGCCTCTGCCCTGAGCCGGGGAAGGTCTTTGCTTTCATGCTGCTGAGGCTCCGCCTACGAGGGGTCCCAGGGAGCACGGACACAAGCGCCCACCGCCTCCCAGCCACCAATGAGCTTTTGTTAACAAACGTTGTCGCATAAGAAACGTCATTTATCAAAGCTCTTACTTCATAATCCCAGATTACGCCCTCCAAATGCCAACACCAGCCCCACGGTCACTACAAACCAGGTTGCTGGTGGAGGCCAGAGCACCGGCCAAGCTTTAGCTCACGCACACACACGCAGACACAGAGAACCACGCATAGACTCAGACACACGCATACGCACACATGCACACAGACACACAGACACACAGACACACACTGCATCTCCCCCAGGGCCAGCCCTGGGCAGGAAACTGGACCTCCCCGGCCAAGACCTGTCCTGCCTCCCACAAAGGGGCTTGTTTTTGCCAAGCAAGGGGCCTTACAGCAGGGACCATGCAGAAAGCCGACCCCTCGGGGCAGGCAGCCAACAGGGTCAGAGACCCCCACCACCGCCCAGACCCGGAGATAGTCACAGGCTGGAGCAGCGGCCCCAGGAAGGGGAGGGGGCTGCACAAAGCCACGCCCTTCATAGGCCACGCCTGTAGGAAGGACCTCGGCCACTCCCCAAAGCCGAGGCCCCTGGGACACGACCCAAGGCTACACCACCTTGCAGTCTTGCCCTCCAGGACCTGTCCCCAAGGCCACCCCTCCACAAGCCACACCCCTCCAGCGAGGGCCCCTAAGGCCACGCCCTCCCACACCAGGCGCCTGGGACACCTGCGGTTAAGAGCCCGTCTAACTCTGGCTCTGTCGATGACTAGCTATGGGCCTTGGGGAGTGACTTTACTTGGTTTCCCCATCTGTGAGCACCGCCCCACGGGACCACAAACATGAAAGTGGTCACTCACTGCAGGGTTCGGGCCGGGAGGGGTCAGGATTCTGCTGGCTCCGGGCAGAGTCAAAGGCCAGGGCTGAGGCCGGCACTGCCCAGCTGGACACATTGGGGTCTTGAAAGGCACCAGTGGGGTTGGGCTCCCCAGCAAGGCTCCTCCGCCCTGGTCCCCCGACACGGCTGAACTGCACAAAATTGCCACCGCGTCTCCCTCCCCGGGGATACCACGCAGGGATTCGCCCCCTGCCCCCCGCCCCGGGTGAGAGGGCTGCCCGATGGCCAGGCCCCTCCATCACCGGTCGCTCATCCCCCATTAGCCCGCCAGAGGGGTCCGGGTCAATAAATGGGTCCTGATGGGCACATTTTTTTCTTCTGCCGAGCAGTTTAATGGCAATTAATTTTTTTACGAGAGGATTTTTAATCTGTGGAAATGGATGAAGTCCCCAAGTGCCCTGTCAGAGCCCCAGGGCCAACCTAATCTATGATAAAAAATGCAAAGTGAGGTGCTATAATCTGAAATTAAATATTGGGCTTCATTTTCCGTCGGCCCGGATGGATGAATATTTTATAACTATTGCGATTTAATTTTTTGTTAACTACAGCAAATTCCTAATTCATCCAATTCCCAAGTCCTGTGGCTCTGACCTCTGACCCCAAGCTCATCTCTCCTTAGCCCAGCTGTGACTTGGTCACTGACAGAAACTAATGGTCAAGTCCGTCAGGGTGACACGGTGGTTACGATGATGGATGCAGCCTGTGGCAAGCCCTCTGACCCAGTGTCGGGCAGAAAGCAGGTCATTTGTCAAGCGAGCCATTAAAATAAAGCTGAGGGGTAGGAGGAGACAACGATGCAGAAAACTGTGATATCTCGTGCCTTTTCCGTGGGCCTTCTGGAACCTTCTCCGTGGCTCCCAGCATCCCTCACTGTCAGGTTCGAGTGGAGGTTCTCTCTCCTCTCCTGTTGCTTCCTACCCTTGCTGAATAGATGTGTCTGCCCCAGCGGCCTGCGCTGCCCGCCTCCCTCAAGGGGCCCTGAAGCCAGCGTGGGGGAGGGAGACAGTCATGGTCCCGCCGGAGCCGGTGCTGCCCCCAGCGGAGGTGGTGGGTCTGAAGGCGCGGAGCAGAAGGACGGCGCCGGGCACGGGCAGAGCATGCACCGCTGGGCTCTCTCGGGTGGGCCGCACAGGCCTGGAGCTCGCTCGCCCGCGTGGGCCCCTGTGAGCCTCAGCATCCCCATCTACAGGACGGGGGCAAGCCCGTCTGCGGTGGAGGAGGGCCGTGAGGGTGGCCGAGCTGGGGTCCGGGGCGTGCAGCTGCTCCGCACTGACCCCCCTGGGGAACAGTGCCGCCTCGTTCCCCACACACCACACGGGGCCCTCCTGGGGACTGCTGGCTCCAGGGCAAGGGCGCGGCCACAAACCTATCCAGGCTGGACAGCTGGGTCTCCGCCGGACGCCACCACCCCACCACCCGCCCAGGCCCCAGGGGAGAGACGCCCCGAGTAGAAATTCCTCTGGGACCTCAAGCCCGCCACCGTCCCCACATCTTCCTCGGACTCTCCTGGGACATGGTCGGCCAACGCGCCCCCTGCGTGACGGCTCCATGTCCCCAAAGGGCTGGGAGACCGTGGACACGAGGCCAAAGGCCTTTGCTGCAACCAGGGCCTCAGTGAAGCAGGTGTTGTGGGTTTGCTGGAGTCCAAATCCCAAACCAGGCAGATAGGGAAAGTCCTCCCTCCTGCAGAACCCCCCGCTGCTGAAGGCCGCTGCACGGCGGCTCCCCGGGGAATGCCACAGACACGCAGCCGACACATCTGTCCACCGGACCCTCGCAGCCGCCCTCCATCACCGCTGCGTCTTCACACACGTGCGCGCAGGCTATAAATGTGTGTGAAGGCACGGTGAGTGAGCGGCCCTGTGTGTTTGGAGACCTTCGCAGTCTGGGGGCTCGGGGCTTTTGTGGGCTTTCCCTCCATCATGGGGGGTGGGCCCTGCATGAGCGGGGACCCCCCGGCGCCCCGGGGACAGCCAGGGTCTGCGGTTCCCCGAGATGCGGACGCCAGCACTGCCCTTCCCCCGTGCCCTGCAGACCCACCCCCCCTGCCCAAGCCCCTGCCGATCCCAGGTCCCCGGGCCCACAGCAGCCCAGGCCTCTGCTGTCCCCGGCACCAGAAACCATGCGCCAGAAAGCCGTGTGCCCACCTGGTGAGCTGGGTCACAGACGTTTACCCCCAGGACATGTCGCGGCCCCAAATGGGCAGACCTTACCTTTGTCTTTGGCGGCTCTTCTGGGGATGGGTGATCTGGGGGCCTTCTCCCTTTTGCAAGGACTACTTTGCATCCTTCTGGCTTTCTCCCGTGGAACTTCAGGGAGGGGAGAGGAGGAGGGAAGGTGAGCAGTCACATTCACGGGGATAGCCACGCTCGTGGACCCGGGCTCCTATGGAGCAAAGCACCTGTCCTGCCTGCTCCCTGGGTCTGTGCCAGAGCGGGTGGCCGAGTGCAGGGCCAGAGGGACACCCTGGACTGCCCGCCCCCCCAGCAGGCCTGGGCCCGCCACACCCTCCCTCCGGGCCCTGACTGGTCACAACCTCCCGGAGTGCCTGGGGCCGAGAGCCCCTGAGGACAGGAACGGCCTCCCAGCTGGGTCTGCCCTGCCCATCTCAGGCTGACCTGGAGCCCTTGTGTTGACTCAATGGGCTGTCAGGGAGCGGTGGCCAGCCAGGCTGGACAGGGGCCCAGCGGGGGGAGGTGGGATCAGAGTGAGGACCACAGGGGCTTTGCATGGTGGGGTCCACATGGCTGGACAGGAGGGGACATGGAGACCCCAAGGGGGTGGAGGTTGTCCGAGTCCCTTGGCAAGCACAGTGGGCCGGCAGGAGGGGACTAGCTTCCCGAGGCCCAGTGCTGTTTGGCCTCGGTGTCTCTGTCCACGGCCGGGGTGCAGCTGTGTTTGGGGAGCACCAAGAAGCCCACCAGCCAGTGCCATGTGAGCAGGGCCAGGGGCACTTGGAAAAGCCTGGCCCAAAAGGACTCTCCAGGCCTGGGCCGGTCCCTCCATCCTCGCTGCCCGGAACCTGCTGGCAGGAAGGGCCTCCAGCACCCTAATTCTGTAAGATCCACTGACACGAGGCCCTAGAGGAGTCAGACCCACAGACAAGGAGAGGGGGGCGGGGGCCGGGGGAGGGGACTGGTCTGTGTGTGACGCAGACAGAGCTCAGTCTGGGAAGATGACCATGTTATGGGGACAGACAGAGGGACGGCTGCACAACGGTGTGAACTCACGGACGCCCCTGAGCTGTGCACTTACTAGTGGTGAAGGTGGTAAATCTTATGTGTACCTTACCATAATTTAAAAAGAAAAAAAAGACCTAGGCCCTGCCCCAAGCCCGCCTCCAGAGGGTTCTAACAGGAAGGATGAGACGTGGCGGTCAAGAATGGTGACCGACGACACTAGATGCTGCTGAGTCCCCGAGCGACTAGCGGCCAAATCCTGACCTTGGCTGAGGAGCCCCAGTGGCCTCCGTGGGGTGGGGGTGCTCGGGGACCTGAGGCCGTTGGGGTCCCCATGGGTGGAGGAGGAGAAGGGCAGGGTGATCGCTGTGAGCCACAGTGGGCCTGGGCACCTGGGTGGGGAGCGGCTTCCGCCCACGGCCAGGCCAGAGCTGGACGCTGCCGCCTGGGCTCGGACCGGCAGGCCCCTTGGCCCCGGCCTGCATCTGACTCCGCTCACACACCCAGCTGGGGCGGGACACGCTCCCGAAAGGTACCTGCGGCTGCTGCCCCAGGGGTCCCAGGTCACATATTGACCCGACCTGACCTGCCTGGTGCCACTGCTGCCCCCTGGCCCCCCGAAGACCCCAGCAGCCTCGGGCATCCCAGGCAGCCTGACTTCTGCTCCCGAGCCCGTCCCCCTGCCCCACTCCGGGGCCTCCAAAACCTTGCTGGAATGAGGCTGCCCTTCTAGACTAGAGAGACGTCCTCCTCCCCGCTCCCCATCCTGCAAACAGTACTGGACTGCCAAAGCCCAAACCCACTGGGGCTCTCTGCTTAAAACCCTCCAAAGCAATTCCCAGTGCCCATGGCCAGCAGTGCAATCCAGACTCTTTAAATGCTACCGCCCTCTGGCCCCCAAGCATGGCTCCTGTCTGCCTCTCCAACCTCACCCCTCCTATCTGTTGAGTGAAGGAGTAAGCCAAACCTTCCCTCGGCCCCTGGCCCCTTCCCACCGGCAAGAAGTCTGCCTACCCATGACCGAGCCCTCGGCACCTCCCAGGCCCGGGGAAAGGCTCAGCCAGGCCCTGTGGCTGGTATGTGTCCACACAGTAAAGACGTCACCCATTCTGTGCAGGAGACCCCCTGCCCTTTGAGCCCCGGGCTGCCTTGCAGGGCCTGCCCGCATTCCTTCCCTGAGGGGGAAGCAGAGGTTTAGAGGAGGTCCCGTTCCGGAGAATGGCAGGCCGGGTCCAAATCTGTGCCTAGCCCTTTCGTGGCGGGGGCCCTCTCTACTGTCCTCGTCTGAGCGGGATCAGACTAGCGCCAGTCATATAGAGGGAGGGAGGCCGCAGTGTCCGGAACCGAGACGCGCTGACCGCCGCCTGAGGGTCCGGGCTGGGCTGCCGGGATGGCCAGCCTTGCAGTCCCTCACCTGAGGCCTGGCGCCGGGGCACCCCGGACGGCTCGCACCCCTGGCCGGGGATTGCCTTGTCTTCCACTCCACAAGGAGCCACACCCAGGGCGCCTAAGCCTGGAGAGGAGCGAAAGGGGGCATCGTGAGGACAGCTTCCGGGAGGGGTTTCCAGGACAAGGCCCCCACGTAGCAGCCACTCAACAGCCTCCAAAACAGCACCTTTGACGGAGGCCCCAGGCCTGAGTGCCTCCCACGGGGCTGGAGGGGGGTTCGTCGGCTTCCTGGCCTTCCTCCGGGGGTCTGGCTTGGAGGCTCTGTAGAGGCGCGAGGCGCTGGACGGTGCGGAGGTGCCCAGGGAGGCGCAGCTGGCCTGCCACTGGGCCTGGGCCCGGATCTTGTCCCGCAGCTGCTCCAGCCGCGGGTTGCTCTCTCTGGGCTGCCGCCGGGGCCCCAGCACCTGGGGGGGCCTCTCCTTCCAGGGCCCGGGGGGAGATGTGCAGGACGCGTGGCCCCCAGAGGAGCCAGAGAGGCGGCCTGATGACACCGAGCTGTCCCCATCCTTGGCCTCCTTGCCTTCCGACCACACCGGGTGGCTGTGGGCCTTCCCCCGGGCGCCTAGCTGCTCAGTGTGGTCGGACCAGGCCACGTGGGGAGCTCCCTGCAGGTCGCCTGGCTGCTGGGAGGGCCTGGGCCACCTCAGGGCAGCCATGGCGTCATCCTCAGCCACAGGCGGACGGAGCCCGGATTCCCTGGGGACAGAGAAGCAGCCCATGAGTCTGGTGTGGAGACCTGGCTGTGCTGAGCAGAACATCTCAGACTGTGCGCCCCCCAGTACCCCTCCTGCTCCCTCACTCTCCTGTCTCAGGATGCCCATGACCGAGAAAGGTGCAGGGGGCCAAGAAAACGCCCCCAGGCACGCCCCCTCTCCGATTGCTACGTCGAGCCTTGCAGGCAGTCACCACCATCAGCACAACTGACAGATGGGGAGACTGAGGCTCCGGAGAAGGCATGCAGCGGGGCACGCTGGCCCCCAAGTCCTCCGTCGTCACGCTGACCCGGACGCCCTCCCGGGGAAGGAGGCTGTCCCTCACAGGTCCCCGCCTGGCCCAGTGGGCAGGCACAGACACGTGCAGCCGCACAAACACTAGCTGGGTGGGCCCTAGCCCCTCAGGTGGCGGGTCTGCCCAGGGCCTGAGGAGCCAGAGTGAGACGGGGCAGCGCCTCTGGTTATCTTTGGGGTGGGGCAGGATCATTTCTCCTGGGCCGGCAGCCAGCATCCCCATGAGCAAGGTCGACAAGGTCGACATGGCCACAGGGCCAGGTCGGGGGCAGAGCCCAGTGAGCCCCCAGTCACCACCTGCCTGGGGTCAGAAGGTGCTTTCACGGGGCAGCCCGCCGGCCTGCAGCCCGGTGTCCATCCTTGCTCAGGATGGGCCGGCCACTGCCGGCTGGTCACGGCCCAGCCCAGTCCCCTGGCCCACGATGGAAACCCTCAGGATAGTCGTGGAAACTGGGTGGGCATGGTGGGCTGCCGGGCTCTGGGCTCGCAACGGCCTGGGGGGCCTTCCTAACGAGCTGCCCCGCAGCAGGGTGGGAGAGAATTCTGGGCGGCCTGTGACAGCATAATAACCCCATTGTCACTCAGCGACAGAGCCGAGGCCTTCGACTCCTGCTGGGGCCATGGACAGGCCCCCCACCATCCTCCCAGGGCATGGGGGCCTATAGCTGTGTGTGTGGTGAGTGGACTGGCCAGGGCTGGGGGCGGGCTCAGCCAGAGCCAGGGGGCCCAGTGCAGGGCTGGGGGCAGAGGCGGGGCTTGACCCCAGGCTCAAGCTTCAGTTCCAGACGGGGTCAGCCTGGGGGACCCGGGAGAGAGGAGCCAGCGCCGGACACGGTCCCAGCAGCTGGACGAGAAGTTCAGTGCTCCAGCCCGACGCCCACTGGGAACCATCTCCCAGGCCGCTGCCTTTGGCTCCTCGGGGTTGGTCAGGGGAAGCGGGCCCTGGCTTCTCAGCTCTCCCTGGCAAATGCTCAGGGCACCCTTTGGCCCACGGACATACTAGCTGAAGATGCCTGAGCCCCAGGAGCCCCAGGCCTGCCTCCTTGGCCCTGCCCTCCTCAGAGAGCACCCCAGCCTGGTCCACCTGCAGTGGGGTCCTGTCACCTTCTCGCCGACCCTGGCAGGGCAGTATGGTGGGAAGGACTCGGACTCTGCAGTCAGCTGGCTCTGAGCTTGGCATGGTCCCCCGAGGAGGAGAGCTGGTTCAAATCCCCGCTCTGCCCCTAGCCAGCTGAGTAACCTTGGGTGACCAGAGACCCCACCCTGCCCTGCCTCTGGGTATTGTGAGCTTCTGGTGAGTTCACTCCAGCAGGAGGGCGCTAAGCAGGGCGGCCCGTGTTCATGAGCAGTGGGATGGCTGAGCTGGCTATGAACCCTTCGTTTTCAGGATGCCCCAGAGAAAGGGGGTTTGCAGCAAAAGAGCTCCTAATTCCAGGCAGAATGGAGAGCCTCTATGAGGCTTATTCTAAGAGCCTGTCCTGGAGAACCAGGGATGCCTGGAGCCAGCTGCCACTGGGACAGGACACGGGGCGGGGCCCTGAGCCCAACGGGGTCCTGGTCATAGGGACACGGCCCCACATTCAGCCACCAGCAGGAGAGAAGAGTCACCCCAGGGACAGGCCCTGCCTGGAATGTGAGGTGCTGCCCCTTCGACCCCAACAACCCACTTCTCCTGCAGTTGGGATGAGGGGAAGATGCATGTGCCTCAGACCACAGAGCCAGCAGAACCCCAAATCCAGCCTTTGGCCCCAGGGCCCTCGACCACACCTGGTAGCCTAGACTGATGACACAGCTCTGCAGGCGGGTCCCCTTGCCAGTGGCACCGAGGCCACCATCCAGCTCTGGCCAGGAGTCTAGCCCTGCCCCAGCTTGCCTGCCCCACTGGGGACGTCGCCTGGTGAGGCCAAAATGCAGTGGGTCCCACCCCATGTTTCTTTATGGGATGTTTGTGAGGGGTCGGCATGGCAGAGGGCTGCCCCCGGGGTTTGGGAAAGCAGGCCCTTCCAGGAGAGCCACAGGGCACACGCGTGTTCCCGCGACGTGTTGGGGATACATGGGGCCTGCAGACGGCTTCTGCTACATGGGGGCTGGCAAGCTCGGGGGACATCACCAGAGGGTGACCACGGTGTCCCCCACACCACCTTTAGAGGCTAGACAACCGAGGAGACTCCCAGAGACAGCTCAGCCTTCTCTAGTTCACAGAGAGCCTCCCCATTCTGGAGCAGAACCCCCTGCAGCCTCCACTGAAGGACCCCACGGTCACTGCAGCCCCCGGGCCTCCGCTGAAGGACCCCGCCTTGGCCAGGCCCTGGGGCGCCTACATCGGCTAAGGTCCTGGGGCGCATTCTCCCCAGCGTCCACCTGACGTCCTCAAGGACAGCGGGAGAGGGTCATCCTGAGCCGCGGCGGCCGGAGCCAAGCCCGCGTCTCTCTGGAGCTCAGCTGGTGGCCCCGGTTTCCCACGAGCAGGAAAGTGGTGGGTCCAGAGCCGTGGCCCTCCGCAGGAAGCAGCTGTTTCATAAACACAACAGAACAGCCGGCTGCCATACACCAGAGTCGATAAAAGCAAAATCATGAAACGAGTGTGTGACGGTGTAAATAACCCCAGCGTCGCGGCAGCCCCGTGAGCTGTGATAAGCCCAGAGCCCAGTCCCTCTCCTCCTGCTCCACTGGCCGCACCCCGCAGGCCTGCTTTACCAGCCCCCCTCCAGACCGGCTCCCAATCGGGAGACGTGCTAGCCCCCGAGGCCTCTCCCTGCCCAGGACCCTCGGTGGACCCCTGGCCCCAGCCCTCTGGCACCTGCTGGGGCGACCACAGCTCTGTGAGCCGGGCCCCGGCCAGGGCCCCAAGCAGCAGTGTGGGTACCAGAGGCCACAGCGTGGGGTGGGGAGCACCCGCACACAGGTCAGGCCCCCGCATCTCTACCCTAAGCAGAGGTAGGCCCAGCTGGAGGCTCCCCGGGCTGTGGCATGCACCCCCATCCTGACCCACCCTCCGCCTCCTCGCTGGCTCACAACCTACAAATGCCACCCCCACTGTGTCCTGGTGCCCACTCCTCCGCCCCCACCACGGGGGACCGGGGACAGCGGGGGGCCGGGCTGGCTCCCTGCCAGAGCCCCCAGCACGGCAAGGCCCTGTGTGGTTTTGTCTCCCTGGCAGCGGTCCTGTGGCCCAGGGTCCCGGCAGGGTCAGAAGCGGGGGCGGGTGGGGAGGGCCACAAGGGTGGGCTTCTTGGCCTGAGGCTTACTGTGGAGAGCAAGCTAAGCCTCCGCACGCCCCCCTGCCCGGCCCCTCGACATCCCAGGGGCCCGCTGCTGAGCTCAGGCAGGTCATTCGCTCATCAGTGAAGTGGGAAGAACACCAGCCCCCACCTGGTAAGGTTTCTTCTTTGAGGGTCAGAGACACAGGGAACACAGAGGGCTCACGGGGTGGGGGGTAGCCTGGGGAGGGGGCTGACTGAGGAAGGAAAGCCAGCACACCTCTGCCCTCCCCCAGCCCACCCCGGAGCCTGGACCGCCAGCCCAGGTCCACACCACTGGCCCGTTCCGTGAGGCATCTGCCCAGTGCAGCCAGAAACCGGCTCACCAGGGCCCCTGCCCCTTGCCCCAGGGGGGTGGGGGGCGGGGGGGCCTACCCACAGCGCCCACAGCCCACTGCACAGTGCAGACCACGCTACTGTCCTGGCCCGGGCACTGCGGGGCTGCTCCCATGGCCTGGGCTGCCTGGACGGGTGGGGTGGGCAGAGCGGGCTGGGGGCCTTCCTCCAGGAGCAGCTTCTCACGGCTCGTCGCCCGGGCCCCCAGCCCCAAGCAGGTCGAGCAGGCTTGCGGACAGAGTCCGTGGACCGCGAAGGAGAAAGGCCCACCGTGCCCACAGCCCCGGGCCCCAGGGTTTGAGAGCACAGAGACCTGGCCAGCCCCGCAGCTCGCACGGGCCTGGACGTGGCCGTGACACCGCTCAGCCTCCCGCTCAGACCCAGCCCCGGGCATTCGGTGGTCCCTCAGCGAGCACGCCCGAACCGGCCTGTACTCAGACCAGTCTGCAGCCGCCACACGCCCTGCCCGCACGCCGCCCAGCACCACGGGCCGGGGGCGGGGGCTCGGAGGTCCAAAAGGAAGCACTTGGGAGGCTGACCCGGGCTCGGGTCATATCTGGGGAAATGATATGCAGGTGACAAGAGCGTCTGTCGTATTGGGCCCTGCTGCACAAAAGCACACGCCTCCCGTCTGGTACACACCGGACAGACACACAGCACGCATGCACACGCGTGCACACCGCCCAGGTCTGCGGAGCTGCCTGGGCTGCCGAAGGCTCTGTGTGGGAGTCTGGCCAGGGCGGTGTCCCCCAGCCTCTGCCGCCCACTTTGCCCCAACAGCCCCAGTGTCTCCACAGCCGCTCCCCAGAAGCTGATGGACTCCTGGAAGCTGGTCGGGCCCCCAGGGTGGCGGATGCGAGGGCGGGGACAAGGTGACACAGGGCCAGCGATTTGGGAAGACAGTTGGCCGTTGGGAGGAGGGCGCCATCAGGGAAGCCAGATGGAAGCCCTGGTGGGCAAGGTGGGGCAGAGATAAACCCCGCAGACCGGCCTCGAGCAGCGGGCTCTGCGGGCAGAGGAATGAAATGGAGGCTGTCCACACCCCCATGGCCTCTCGGCTCCGGCAAACCCCCCACCCCAGCTACACAACCAAGACCCATGGCACCGCCGCCCATGAAACCCACTGCGCAGGGGACCCCGGAGCCACCATCCACTGCTGCCAAGAGGGTCTCCCGGCCACACCCACAGAGAGGTCAGAAGGGAGCTCCGCCGGCCCCCAGGCCCTGCCACCTCCTCGTCCCCCCGCCCCGCACGGCCACCCTCAGGCCCGCTGGGTCACTTGTGGAGACCGCTTGGGGCACCTGCCAGGGGCCAGGCCCTGCGCCCAGGGCGTTCCCCAGGCAACCTGGGGCTCCTCCCCAAGCCGTGAGGAGGGCATTGTCACCTTGCCCACAGTCACACAACACAGAATAGACACCCACCCTCAGCACCACCTCCTCCAAACCGGGAGCGAGCAGAGTAGACCGGGGATTCTGAGAAAGGACACCCCAGGGACCAAAACCATCTTCAAACAGCTCAGAACAGTTAACGCGGGGCCAGGGGTCTCCTACCGCTGCCTCACCCTGGAACTGCACTCCTGGATGGGAGCCCTCCAGCAGGACCGGACGGCCTGAGGGGCCCTTTGTCCAGGGAGTTAGCTGGACGGGGTCCA